TCAACATGCTGTCTGTTTCGGCCCATCGGAGGCATTTCTGGCTGCCTCCGACTTGGCGAGCTCTCCTGCTGTTTGCTCTGGCGGTCTAATTTCCTCTGATAAGCTGGTGGTTGGCGCTCATTCAGCCAGTCTAGTCAGTGTAATTTAGCTCAAGTGGAGATTGTCTGTTCCCATGTTGTTATTTTCTGAATTGTCTGCTTTTGTCATTCTTGGTCACGTTCAAGATCTTTTTAATTGAGTGGAAATTATATCGGCTTTGTTTTTGAGCCTCTTTAATGTGACTATTTTCTTTCTAGTGGCATGTTCAAAGTTTATTGAATGTACTCTGCAGATATACTTTAAATTGTTGGCAAATGATTGATACAGTTCCTTAGTTATGTTTTTAGAACATACATTTTTCTTGTTCACTGGTGCTTCTCTTGACTGGTGCTGCTTAGCCCAATTAGTCTTTTTGTAAATATCAGTTCATCAGAACACCAGGAGACACCAGGTAAAAAGGGTGAACTCCAGCTGTTAAAGGTGTTGTACACTCATTTATTCAACACATTTGCAGTGCGCTCTGGTAAGAATTAATGCCTTGTAAGTTGTACTCTGGGTAAAGAAAGCTATGATGTGCCTGTTTCAGGAACTAGAAGTGAGCCATATCACATGTGAGCCTGCCACTGATTAAATTTGCTCTGCAACATGGTTGTTTTATCTCACAAATAACACAAGCCTGAAGAAGTTCTGCTGAGTGGTGGAGTTGCTAATGCTAACGTTAGCTTCTGCTGGCCGAGTCGTTCTCTGCTGTTTTCTGGATGCTAAATCAACAATAGCCTTGCCCCTCATGAGTTAAGATGGGCAAGTCCAAGTGACAGTTTGACGTAGATCTGTCCGGCTTTTCAAATCCTAGAGTTTCATCATCTATTTCATCATCTCAATACCCTGCTCTCCTCCATTCCTGAGCACGACTGTCCCACAATGGTCCTTGGAGACATGAAAATTCACCTGGACAATCCCAGCTCATCAGGCTTCCTGTCACTAATGTCATCATTTGATCTAAAACTAGTACAAAGTCCTCCAACTCACAAAGCTGGAAAAGCACTTGACCTCATTTTCACCAGAAACTGTGCCATAGGCACAATCTCTGTCACACCGCTGCATCTTTCGGATCATTACTTCATCCATTTCAGCACAACTCTACAAGGGAGGTCCACTGCTTCCTCCCCAATGGTCTCATTCCACCGTAACCCCCGCAATCTGGCACCCAACCACTTCTCCTCTCTTGTTGCCTCCACTCTTCCACCTCCCAGCACATTCTCTGCTTATGAAGTGAATGATGCCACCGAGTCACTCTGCTCCACACTCTGCTCTTGTCTTAATAACTTGTGTCCTTTAGCCACTAGACCTGCTAGATCCTCTCAGTCGCACCCTTGGCTAAATGATGCCCTCCGGTCTCTACGCACCAATCTTAGAGCTGCGGAACGGAAATGGCGCAAAACAAAAGATCCTGATGATCAACTGAAATTTCATGAATTACTGTCCTCATTCTCTGCCAGCATCACTGATGCAAAGAAAGCTTTCTACACTGGCATAATTCTCAGCTCTACTGACTCTCAGAAACTATTTTCGACATTCAAAACTCTGCTCAACCCTCCGTCTCCACCTCCCACCCACAATCTATCAGCTGACACCTTTAGCTCATTCTTCACTGACAAAGTGGCAGCTATAAGCAAACAGTTTACTCAACTGGCCACTCCTGAACATTCGCTACCACAAACCCCTTCTATCCCAACCATCGCAAGCCCTACTGCTTCATTTTCCTCTTGTTCCCCTCTCACTGAGAACTGTGTGTCCAAGCTTCTCACGTGCAGCCGCCCTACTACATGCCCACTTGACCCCATTCCGACTAAGCTGCTCCAAGCTATTGCTCCTACAGTAGCCGCAGCAGTCACACATGTGATCAACGCATCACTGACATCCGGTACATTTCCCACCTCTCTCAAGCATGCTCAGGTTAAACCGCTGCTAAAAAAAAACATCTCTTCCTCCAAATTATGTGGAGAACTACCGACTTATCTCCCTCCTCCCTTTTCTGTCCAAAATCATTGAAAGGGTGGCTTTCAAGCAGATCACAGAATACCTCTCACAAAACTGTCTGCTTGATCCTTACCAATCGGTTCAAAAAGGGCCACTCCACTGAAACTGCTCTGTTAGCAGTGACGGCCGTTGCTCGTTCATGCCGCTTTGCGCTGTATAACATACGAAAGATCAGACCATACCTAACACAGCATGCCACCCAGCTCCTGGTGCAATCTACTGTCATCTCCCGCCTCGATTACTGCAATGCCCTCTAACTGGTCTTCCAGCCTGTACTGTGAGACCTCTTCAAATGGTCCAGAACGCAGCGGCGCGTCTGGTCTTCAATCAGCCAAAAAGAGCACATGTCACCCCTCTGTTCATTGAGCTCCACTGACTACCGCCTAGCAGCACGTATCAAATTCAAATTGCTAACACTAGCATACAAAGTCCGAGATGGTACGGCTCCCATCTACCTGAATCCTCTTGCAAAGGCTTACGTCTCGGCCCGGCCGCTCCGGTCATCACAGGATCGTCGGCTAGCAGTGCCTACACCACGCTCATGACAATCCAGACTCTTCTCATGCATCGTTCCACAAATGTGGAATGACCTACCAAGCACTACCAGAACAGGGACTTCCTTTTAAGTTTTCATGAAACTCCTGAAGACCCTGCTCTTCAGAGAGCATCTTCTAAACTAGCACCCTCCCTGCACCCGTCCCCCCTCTCTACTGTCCATTCCTTGTTCCCTCCTCTCCATGATTGATGTCAAGTTGTTGTTGTTATTGTTGTTGTTGTTAGCCTCAAGGGCAACATGCCGATTATCACTTGTTAGTCGCTTTGGACAATAAGCGTCTGCTAAACACAAACATTTTCTGTCAGAAGCTAGTGCAGGAGATAGGTCTAGGAGACTATTGTCATGTTCGGTCTGCATGAAAAACTCAGTGACCGATTATAATCAGAAATAATGATTTAAAATGTTTTTCATTGTTCCACACCTTTATAATCTCTTCTAGAGAAGGAGAAACAAATAATTTATTACAAAATACCAAACTCTCAGTACATACTAACTACATATTTCTGTTCTAATTTTATGTGAAATATAAAAACGATAAAATTGTTTTCCTCAGTCAAGTGTTTTACTAGCCTAAACATCTAGACCAGGGCTATTCAGTTTCGGGCCTCGAGGGGTGATATCCAGCATATTTTAGTGGTTTCTCTAATCCAACACACTAGCTTCAGTGGTTGAATCATCAGTGCAGTAGCTCATTAGGCTCTGCAGAAACCTGCTAATCACCTGCTGATTGAAATCAGGTGTGTTTGAAACAGGGTTAAAACCAAAACGAGCTGGATACTGGACCTCAAGGCCCAGAACTGAATAGCCCTGATTTAGACCAACCATGACGATAAAAGATTTAGCTTTGTGGGTTTGTCTAGTCATGCTGCATTTTAGCCTCAGCAGGTCTTCCATTGGACCAAACAATTTTGTGTCTAGCCAGTCGCAGTGCTCTTTTTGTGGGGAGACGCTGGGCGGGCTTAGCACCAGAGCTGTAATTGAGGAAAACTTCAAAAATGGGGTTGGCTCAAGAACGATGCTCGTTTGAAACAGCTTTGGTATCGACTTTGGACAACTTAGACTTGGGCTTTTCTTTGAGACACGAACAGATGGAAGTAGGTAAAGTGCAAGTCACCCCAGTCCCAGAGTCGTCCTCCACCCACACTTCCTGTTTGATAAATGCACCTAATGGATAGGGATGTCCCATTCCAATATAGATATCAGAAGTAATTAGACGCCGCCCCATAAAGACTTTATCAGATCATGTTGGACTGCGTCAAAAATCTCGGATATAAGCAGTCCATTAAGGCTTCCATTTTTGCAACCAATGGTTAAAGAAAATTGTATTTTTTTCATACTCACTGTTGCCTCTTGTTCTCCGATGGAGTAATATCACTTGATCAAGGCTTACATACATTTGATTTGTGCTGATATCGTATCGGCTTGATATCGGTATCGGTCAATACTGAATGATGCATTATCTGTATCGTATCGGAAGTGAAAAGGTATCGGGACATCCCTGCTAAAGGAGAAATTGCCTGGCGGACCACACACACATTGTCACTGCTCAGAATTAATGTCGAAGATAGGAGCCATAAACAAACACGTGTGCGCACACATTCACACCACTTGGACATAAAAACAACAGCAGGCTTCCTAGTATGGAGGATTTCTCCATCAGAGGACGGAGATGAAAGGGAGGAGAGGAAAGTTTAATGGAGAAGGAGAGCAGCTCTGAACAATATCGTTTCTTATCGTCTCTTAATTGTCCGAGGCAGCTGGAGGTGTGGCTGAGACTTGGCTCTAGTGCGGTGCCGAATAGCTACGTCAGAAATACTGGCTAACGTAGAAAATACCAGCTTAGCCAATAGCAATGCCTTATGTGGTTGTTTCAAAGTCAAATGTAGAGCAGACTTTTGATCTGAAGAGCGTTTTAAAAATTTATGTTTTAAATAACATGCCAAACAATGACCACATGTGTCTACAGCACTAACACTAATTTATACAGTTTATCAGCAAAAAAAGTTGATTTGGGGGTGACTTGCTCTTCAGGTTCTTAATTTCAGAAATGGATGCATTTGCTTCTGTTTCTTCTGTGATGTGTGGAGGACTGCCCTGTTGACTGATTTCTGTTGCGATGAAAATGTCACATTGTTCATTGCTCTGATTGAACTTAGCATTGTCCAAATGAAAATACAACCATAGACTCCGTCCAATGACCGAGCTCGGTCAATGGGTCGCAACCAGACTATATGTTTACATTTATTGGGCGGCTTGCCAGGCTACTCTTTTGTGACATATTTGTTAAAATCTTGTTTTTTGTCCAATATGTACACAGGTGCTTGTTTAATTTGTCATTAACATCTGCCCATTTCTTTTTTTCTAGTCTTGTGTGCAAAGAACTTGTCGAAGAAAGACTTCTTTCGTGAGTAAAGACTTCTGCTTTTGTCTGTGTATATTAGCAATTCTTGTCCAGTTTCTTCCATTTCCATTTAAATAGTTTTTAAGCAATTAGAGCCACGGGCCGCTAGTTGAGGTTCAGTTATGTACACTATTCCCTGATGGACAGGTTGGGCATTCCAATTCTTATCCCTTGTTTCATTTCCGGTTCTTATCGATTCCTGATTTCGATTCTTTCAAGTGGCAGGGTCCAAAACATTACATGTTTTGAGTGAGCCAGTTTACCACAGGTCTCAAATTAAGAAATAATCTGAAGAAGCCTCTGGGATGAGAGACAAAAGTCTTCAGCATAACCAGAAAAGTACAGCTGTTTTCAGCTAAAGCTCTCAGGATGATCATGTCTAGGATAAGAGCTACACCTACGTGTTGCAGCAGCGATTCAGTCAGAGGGGAAGCATAAAAATACCTATAGCTTAAAAAATGGTCTGAGCGGCAGCGTCTGACTGTTTGACTGTTGATGCTGCTTGTGTGTTTTCATTTCTGCAACTCATTAAAACTTGTATTAAATCTACTGTGCTGACGCATTTTAACGATCTTCCTCCGCGCCGTATTTTTCACTGCGGAATGAAAAGTTTACATCACAGAGAAAGTTCGACAGACACGTTTCTTCACATGTTTGCCGCTGTGCACCTGCGCAGCGTCAGGGGAGGGCATTGATCAGAATTTGCAGATCACGTATTTTTTTTAACAAAGCGGCCGCGGATTCCTCTTCTGGTCAAGATACTAGAAATCAAAACTAGGACTGGAATTAAAAAAATTTTAAATGATTCTGTGAAAAAATTACAGTTGGTCAAGGTTCCAGTCGATGCTCGATGCCTAACCCTACTGATGGATGATTGTGGTGTTGGAGCATGCGTTTATGTTTGATTTAAATCTAGCTGAACGTGTGTAGACCCGAACCCTTAGGGAAGTCCATGATGATGGAACAAGTTTAACTTGCTGTATGTTCCTGTTCCCAGAGGTATATCTTACCTTTTCAAGCTACACAACAGCTGATAAAAGCAACACGAGGAAACCCTCAGCCGATCATATTTCCAGCCAAACAAGACCCCCCCCCCCCCCCCCCCCCAACTTATTATTGCCCTGCTCTCCCTGTTTGCTTTGAAACATGTTTTATTAAGTAAATACACAGAGGAACACTTTATGGTGTCCTAAAACTTGGGTGCGTTCTAAATTTAAAAAGCCTAGTTTTGTCACAGATGAATATTTAATAATAATAATAATAATACATTTTATTTCAAAGCGCCTTTCAGGACACCCAAGGTCATGTCAGTCTGAGTGAGTCGGATAGTTCCTGAAAAGGCTCACACCTGTTTCCTCTTAGACACAAGTAGATGGTCCCAGGAGATTAGCTCACCTTCTAAACAAACCCCCAACTGTTTTCCTGTTCCTACTTTTACAGGGTTGCCCGATCCTTTTGCCAAAGTGGTGGTGGATGGTTCAGGACAATGCCACTCAACCGATACTGTGAGGAATACTCTTGACCCAAAGTGGAATCAGCATTATGACCTGTGAGTCCGTGACAACACACACGTTAATAACCTGTGCCTCATAGAGAGACTAGTTGGTCACAATCTAATGTAACACATGCGGTAGGGTTTTATTATTATTTTTATGTTAAGTTTCATTCTAACAGACAGTTAGTTTACTCATTAATCGTCACCTAGTAGTCAGCTGTGATGAAGCAGGAACTTTTACTGACTGGTTGAGCTCTTTTGGTTTAATCAATAATGTGAAATGATGAGAAACCTTCCAACAAAGATGCTTCAACGTCGAATAAACAAGCGTGGAAGTATAAGTTTAAAAGGATCTGAAATGTTTATAGATTCTGATCTGGATGGTCTTTATTGCATCTACATTAATCTGTCTAGTGTTCCTTTGCCTCTTTGGAAGAAGCACCTTACTTTCTGCTTTACATGACAAAGATAATCTTGCAGTTGCATTTCAAACATTCCACACTTGCAGACTGGAGACAGATTGTTTTCAAAAGATCAAGTTTTTATTTCTTTAGATTTTTGTAACACCCCCCCCCCAAACACCAAATGTTATTTAGAGCTTCTAACTTTCACGCTGCTATGTGTTTTTCTCATTGTCCTGCTGTAGCAACAGCTGCAGCGTTTGGGCCACAGACTTTTATTTTGAAGATCTCCTTAAACCCACATATCTTCGCCCTCTTTACTTAATACTCTTTCTCCTTTTTGTTACCCACCCACTCCTTTTCCCCACAAGCAACCCTTGGCCTCTTCCTCTAGCTCAGGAAATGGCTAACATGCCACAGAAAGCAGATGGGAGTGTGGGCTTGGCCCATTGCCATCCAACCACACCTCCATCTGCAGACTCCAGCTTTTGGGGGTGGGATCTTTTTACACATGCTACAGATACCGTTTCCCTTCCTATCACGTTCTGTATGATGAATATCCTGAATAATTGTTTAGGAAATACATTTTAACATTTTATTTTTCACACTGTTCTGTCATGCCCTTGTGCCTGCAGTGCTTTTAACAGTTAAAATTTTAAATGCTTAGCAACTTGCAAAAATGAAAAAAAGAGGGGCTTACATATTTTTTATTACTTTTGACAAGAAAATTTTAAGAAATTTCTCCGTTCAGAGCTCTCACAAACTGTTATTAAAATTTTCTAAGTTGTCTTGTTTTGATGCCTTCAGTAGGAAAGCCCCCTCTGTTTGCAACCTGCATATGGTATATTATAATGTGCATGAGGATACTACACTGTAATTACATTCATGTCAGCAAGTGCAGTTGCGCTTTCGAATGTTCTGTGAAATGTGTGTTTACTGAAAGTGCTGTCTAGGCCCCAGACAGTGGTAGAACACATCACAGGGACTTCCTCTGTTTTTCAACCGCGACTAGACAGACATCAGCTGTGGCAGATCTACTCTCTCACACACTCACACTCACACACACACACACACACACACACACACACACACACACACACGTGTGCATGCATGCACACTTGACATCTGCTTGAATAGCAGCAACAAAGTTTTAGATATTTAGTTTTGGTTGTTTCTAAAATAATTTAGTTTCTGAGCATGTTTGAATCAATGCATGTTATCTATGTAGAAGATTATTAAAATAACAAAGTTAACTTGAAGGACTTGTCCCTCACTTTTCCCACCAGTTACATTGGAAAGACGGACTCCATTACCATCAGTGTCTGGAACCACAAGAAGATCCACAAAAAGCAGGGCGCAGGTTTCCTCGGCTGCGTCCGCCTCCTGTCCAACACCATCAGCAGACTCAAAGACACAGGATGTGAGTACCTGTTTGGATTCCTGTCTGCATATGTGTCACTGAGCATTTGCTGAAAATAGGTCACAGATGTGTGGTCTCTTTGTATTCTTTCTGCGTGCCTTGAATGAAAGGTGCAAGTCAGACTTGTTTGCAAAGACTGATTCAGAGGCACCCTGCAGCAACAGAGTAGATAAATAAACAATTAAACAGCAACCAGGTGGTTAGCCGAGCCACGGTAACTGTTGTTTTCACGCTTGTTGCGTTAAGATCGTCTCAAATTTGTGTGAAAGATCAAGTTTCTCTAACAAAAGCCATTGAATACGTCCAAAAACCTGGTTTGATCACAGAATCGTTCATCTGGTACTTGTAGTTAATTTGTAAGCTAGGCTAATTGTCAATAAAGCATTGAAAGGATAATTTAGGAACTTAACTGTAGACTTGCTTGTCTCAACTTTAGCTCCAGACTGTTGCAGCACTATTGTCCTTCTTTGATCTTCAGATTTTCTATCTGGCTGCACACGTTAGCTTCCCAAGTCCTCTAGTTCATTCTCCTTTATTTCAGTCCCTCCTGCTGATTTCTGATTCCTCGTACTGGAACCTAGCTTACGCTATGTACCAAACGTAATACAGTCAAACGCCTCCACAGCATTACTGCAGTTTCAAGTATGTCTGCTCAATTTCAGCTGCTGATGAGCCGGTTTCTGTGCAGCCATCATGACAGAAGTTATCTCAGTCACAAGAGGTGAACTGAGAGGCGTGCAAGATGACAGGAAGCCTCTATTATCCTTTTGCTATTGTCATGTGAGCTGCTTATGTTTTTCAAATTCAATTCAAAGATACTTTATTAATCCCAGAGGGAAAGTCATTTTGATGACTCGTTTCATTTATTGACTCATTTACTAACGTTTTATACATTCGAACATGTAAATGCATCTCAACAAAGGGTTAATCTAACTAGGGATGCACCGATGGATCGGCATTTGATCGTAATCGGCCGATAGCGCCCCTATCGGTTTTGATCTGAATTTTCAAAATAGATCAAAGCAAACCGATCAGGCACGGTAACCAGTGTAGCGGTAAACCCCGGTAAAAAAAAATAATAAAAAAGTTGACAATAATAACCGTCTTGTTTTAAAAAAAACGATATTATCTTGGTGGATTACCGTGGCTGCGGTGTAGGCGCGGTGACCCTTACCAGCCACCGTATCATCTGCTGAAGTTGCCGGCGGCACATGCACGCTTTGTTTACAACAAAACTTTCTTGAAGCTAAAGCTGAAATAATGGTCAAAGGAGGAGACGGCAGCGCTCAGGACATTTATTATCCCTCAAAGAAGACAAAGTCGGAAGTACGGGTATCTTTTAGATATGTGAAGAATGCCGAGGGAGTTTATAGAAGACGGACGGCTATCCTGTTTGCAGCACGAGCAGAAAAAGTGTCTGTGAAAGGCAGCAACGCTTCTAATCTCATGACACATCTGCGTGACCATCACCCACAACTCTACAGTCAACGCAAGGCAAGCTAACGTTAGCGTTTTAGCTAAAATGCGTGATCCGAGGATTTGGGTTGAGGGAGAACGCAACGAGTGGCTATATCAAGCAGCCGCAGCACCGCTACCTGCATATAAACCGTGTCGCGGACACCGCCATGTTGAAATGACGCTATGCATTACGGGGCTCCCAGGGGCAGATAAGAGTTGGTCTCTCTCCGAGAATAATTATGAATTTAACAACGATTACTGCCTGATGACATTTTCCCACATCTGCAAAGCTCACTGGAAGGACACAAACCGAGGACAATATTTTCCTGATATAGGGTTTATTACTCAAGTAAGGGTAAAAAAGTATCTGATTAGAAGGCTACTTGAGTACTGAGTATCATCTGATCTAATATTTTTAAAATGATGACATCAAACAGACATAAAATAAGAAGTTATGGGCAAATATTGGTATTTTAAAGACTAAAGGGGGAAAATGTAAACAAATAAACAACATAATTACAAAATAACACATTTTAGGCAAAATTTAGACACAAACTGAGGACAATATTTTCCTGATATACAGTGTTTATTTAATTGTGTGAAAATGTAGCACGTTTAAAAAAAATACCGCAATAATACCGAAAACCGTGGTAATTTTGGTCACAATAACCGTGAGGTTAAATTTTCACACCATGACAACCCTAATGATTAGGTTACATTTCCTTTATTCCCAGATTATGTAGTTTGTAGCACTCATTATAATGTTGTAGAACATTTCTGGCCAATCCACGTGATCGGTATCGGTGATCGGTATCGGTGATCAGCATTCTTTGATATCGGTATCAGTGATCGGCAGCAAAAAACCTGATCAGTGCATCCCTAAATCTAACTAAATAAAGCCGCTCTTAAAGTGGAGTTGTTTATGTTGGTCTACTTAAGGGCCCGTGTTCACTTTACCTACTTCAGTCTGATGCAACATTTTTACAGCTCAGATGAATCAGTGTGGTAAACGCTTGCGGTGTAAAGTCTGTCAAGTTTTTCTCTGAAATCTGATTACCGTTCTTACCATGTGAGACCTAAACCATCCCTGTTTAGTCTAGACATGTATCCGGAGCGCGCGCGCACACACACACACACACACACACACACACACACACACACACACACACACACACACACACACACACACACGATTGTTCTGTTTTTTTATGTATAGACAGTGAACAGTTTTCCATGCATCTTGCAGGCAAAGCAAAGATTAGTTTTGAGTTTTTGCAGCACTGAAGTCTCTTTTTTTTAAATCATTGCCTGATTTACTCATTCATTCTTCCCTTTCCTGTCTACAAATGCACGCACGCACACACACTCACACATTTTGTCTTGTGTCTGTGTTTCAAACACTGCAAACGCACCTACTTACATTTTAGTTCCTCTTCCCCCGGCCTTACGCAGATACCCCGGCTCACCTTGTGTCATAGGGGCCATTTTTAGTGTCAGAAATGATACCTGCTCAATATTACGTGTGTTTATAATATTATGGCTGATTTGTGTAAAAATACAATGACCAGCAGGATTTCTGACCTATTAACTGGCGTGGATGCCATAAAAGATTTGTTATGTGAATATACAGAAGACTAATGTTGACTCTTAAAGCCATCATTTAAGTCTTTTTTTATTTTTGTGCTTCTTAATTATTTTACATCGTGAAAGGATGTAACTGATAAGTTTTATCAATGTTTATGTTTAATATTGTTTGCAGATCAGAGGCTGGATCTGAATAAGCTGGGCCCCAATGATAACGATACTGTGAGAGGACAGATAGTCGGTAAGAACCACCGTTTCAGTTGGACGCTATATATTATATAGGTCTAGGGCAGCACAATATATCGTAAATATATTGTTATCGCGATATCAGCATGCACAATATGCATATTGCAAAGAACAGGTGAATAGCGCAATGAATGGTCAGCTCAAATGTTTGCTACTCATAATGTGTTCGGTCAATCAAACAGAAGCACTGTGTGTGTTTTTAACAAATCAAGTAGAGCTCTTCACCCATTTGGCCAAATGGATGGGTTCTCATAGGTTAGATGTCTGCCCCCGAGGCGGACGGCACTTAGTTTTGATGGTTAGCAAACACCTGAGTTAGCTTTGTTCATGCCCTTTTTGCGGGTTCTGCTTTTCCCGGGATCCACTGATTGCCCTTTCTTGTTAATTTTCTTTTTCTCTTTCCTCACACTTTTTGCTTTTCTCATTTTTATGATTTTTTTAATTTTTTTGTTTTTCATTATTTTTTTCCTATGTTTAGTTTTTATTTATCGCAAGTAGTATCATCATCGCAATGTTAATCATTGTTATGAAAAATTGCAGGTTTTCCTAATGTCGTGCAGCTCTATATAGGTCTTTATTTTTGTTATGTCTTCTTTTGTAAGATCAAAGTCGGAGTATTTTATTTATGATCTGAGCTGACATAGTTCACCGTGTGGCTGTTTCACTCAAAAGTTTAGAAGGGAATAAAAAAACTTTCCCTAAAACTCTTAACTGGAATCTGGAGGACTTAAATATTATTAATCATCATAATTAAAGCCAGCTTAGTGAAAATTCACTGATCTGACTTTGTTTTTGTCTTTGACTTCAGTAAGTCTACAGTCCAGGGACCGCATTGGGTCTGGGGGACCAGTGGTAGACTGCAGTCGCCTGTTTGACAACGACTTACCTGATGGGTCAGTGCTGTGTTTTTGTTGGTTGGTTTTGTAGGATTTCTGATTCAAAACATTCAGAAATGTTTGTGAACATTTGCACTCCCATATTTAAGTGTGTAAAGTTTTACTCTGAGGTAGCATATTCATGGAGTAAGCAATTAGCCACTGATTGTTTTAAGTTTGTTTCATTATTTGCACAAAACAGTTGGGAGGAGAGGAGGACGACTTCTGGAAGGATCCAGTATCTGAACCACATCACACGCACCACGCAGTGGGAGAGACCCACCAGGTACCAGCTGCAAACATTCATTAATGTGGAATGAAGCTTTAAAATAAACTTCTGTCTGTCTAAAGGTTGGTTTATGCTTGACGCGTCCGCGAGGTCCGCACGGCTCCGCGCGGAAAAGTTGCGTCATTTTGCGTCATTTTAACAACCACGCCGCGCCTCCGCACGGCCCAGAATTTCGGCAACGCGCACCTTGGAAAATTTCTAACCACAAAAAACATGGCCGACCGGCAAGAACTAATATGGCAGAGGTTGGTAAATACAGACATTTGTATGATTCAGCTCTCAAAGATCACCGTGATCAATGTGTTGTTAATAATTCTTGGAGAGAAATAGCTCGCACTGTCGGAAAAGACGAGAACGCTGCTAAAAATGCTGGAATGCCGTGTTGTAAACAGTAATTTCTACTTCTACTATGGTGTAGTGTTGGGTGCATGCCGTAGAGCTCCATGCTGCCCCCTACAGTTTGGGAGAATATTGGCTCACCGCAGAGACGAGCCGCACGAACCATAAACGCTGCGAGTTGTGAAGCGCGTTCCAGCCGCGAGCCGCATCACCGCGCGGAAAGTGAATGTGCCAAGCATAAACCAAGCTTAAACGACAAACCCAGAACATTGCTTCTTACTGAACATAAATTACTGACATGAGGAGGCCACTTTTATCCTTGTTTCACTTCCAACAGGGAGAACGCTTTCACTTACAGCACAACAATAACAGTCTGAGGGTAGTGAGTGCTTTCCTCAGCCCCCATGCTAACGTGTTCTTGTGCACACACGCACACACACAAACGCGCACACTTTTACACACACAGCTTAAGAAGCTAGCTAGGCAGTCAGGCTGCCAGGTTTCACTTGGCCCCCTCTTGCTGTTGAAACAACTGTCGCCTTCCTATTTGGCCCATATCAGTGGAGCCATTAGGAGAGTAAGCAAATAAACCACCCAGTTTACGACACATCTTTAGCCACCCTGGGTCAGAAAAGCAAAGGGAGGCTTTCCAGAGAGAGAAACATGGAGGGAAGTGGGAAGACAAAGGAAGAAGATGAGCAGGTAGAGGGATAGCATAGATGTAACGAAGAACAGATTAGTTAACCTCTGGATACTGTTCCCATGGGCTTAGATGCTGGGGAGAGGAAAAGGGAGAATGAAGGCAGGACAAAAGAAAGTGGAGGCAAAGGTGGGTAGAAAAGAGGCTGGTGAAGGAGGAAATGGGTGGGAGAAAATTGTGTGTGGAGGGCTTATGGGTCCAAGGTTTTAGATAGCCAAGGCGTCAGTAACTCTGGCCAGACAGTAGTTAAGCAGTGCTATGCACGCATGGAAGTACACACACACACACACACACACACACACACACACACACACACACACACACACACACACACACACGCGCACACACACACACACACACACACACACACACACACACACACACACAGACAGACAGACAGACAGACAGACAGACAGACAGACAGACAGACAGACAGACAGACAGACAGACAGACAGACAGACAGACAGACAGACAGACAGACAGACAGACAGACAGACAGACAGACAGACAGACAGACAGACAGACAGACAGACAGACAGACACTGTCAGTAAGTAAGCTGGTCTGTTAGCTTATCACATCTGTCTGTCCTGTTCTAGAGTAACATGCATGCTAGTGCAGGATGGGGGCTCTTTGTTCTTTTCTCTGATATCACCTATAGTCTTCCCTCTCACTCATACCACCACATTCATCTCCTGGTGGGTTTGCTGTAAAATGCTTATGTGCATTTTTTATGTTAAACTGAACGGCTTAAGTACAAACTGGCCTCTATCTCAAAAACTAACTCATTAAAGTTACAATGTGTAGTTTTTACTGGTAATCTCTGGAAATATGTTGTTGAAAATGAATGAAATGATGCCCAGTTTTTGAAAAATATTGGCGGCTTCGTAACATCTAACCATAAAAATCATATGGGAGCGGGTCTGAAGGCGACGTTGTATTAGATGCGATGTTTCCTTCCACACTTTTACTGATTTGTAACAAACGGTTACAAAACTTTCACCATTCATAAACGTTGTTTTACACATTTACCTCTTCACTCGTTGCCAGTGATGAAAGAGTCTGATGTGCTTGTCATTATGCTGGAAGTTGCACTCCCAGGGATTTTTGACCCTAATGGCCATCCGTTGGTAAGGTCTTACTCAAGCCCCCACAATGACGCTCTAAAATTGAGGCAAACCCGGAAATGAAATGAATTGCAGTTCCACCCTCATCCACTAGGGGCTGGTGTCAGAAGCGAGCAAATCCTCATTGACTCCCATGTTAAAAATACCAATTTCACAGCAGAAATAAACATGTTTACAGTCTGGTACCAGAACATGTTTTTGGTTTAAATTATCTAGTTTACACTCATGACAACTCTGAGGGGGGTGCATTTTTTTCTCACTCTTCTGTTTAAGTGAATTAAAAGCCTAAAATTCCTCATAATTAATGAGCATCAGACCCACGTGACCACAGAACTAGCTCCGTGGAAAGGCCTCAGTAGAGCCTCGGCCTGGCCTGGAAACTGCTCCGGGATTTTGAGTCTCTGTGTGTGTATTCTTGTTTGGATATTATTTGTGCAATTGTTGAACAAAATGACTTGCTGTGCCATTAATTACACTAATAGAGCGTCCAAGGAGTCTCCACTTCATTTATTTCGGTAAGTAAAATTATATTTATGTATTTTAGGTCACTGCCGAGCTGAGCTTAGATTTTAACATGTACTGTTTAACCATGACATTTAAATGTAATAGGGTAAAACCCAGTGCATTTAACATAATGCTGCACTGTAGAAAATGGGTTGAAATATAACATGTTGGTGGAGCTGGGTTCCCACTATCGGCTTGTGGAGCTCTCGGGAGACCGATGTTTTCCACCCGTTCTCCCCTCCCCGCAGCTCGGCGCATCTCTGTCTGATCGCGGCTTCTGTCTGCTGCGCGGGCTGCCGGCTTGTGGAGCTCTGGAATGGAAACCTTTTGACCCGGTTCTCCCCAGCGGCAGCTCTGCGCATCTCAGATCGCAGCGGTGCTTGTCTGCTGTGCGGCTGCCAGCTTGTGGAGGTCTCGGAGATCTCTGTGTTCCTCCCGGTTTTACCCAGCGGGCAGCCCGGCGTATCTCTGACTCAGAAGCTCTGGTGTTGTGCACAGTTAACTCCGGTTGTAGCTAGGTTGCTACCTCCGTTAGCTTAGCTCCCACCTCCGCGTTAGCTTTGGGTTAGCTTGTAGCTAGTTCAACCGGGTGTCGTCAGTTGATCCCAGCCTTACAGCCCCACCCTCAGCTCCTCCTCTCTTCCCTTTTTTGGAATTGTCTGGGCTTGACCGAACCTGTGACACGGTCAAAATGGCGGTGGTGGCCACCTCCCATTTGGCCTCAAAAACGTGATGTTGGAGCCTATGGAAAGGAGATGTCCAGTATATTTATGTCGATGGTCTTACTCAAACACAAAAATACTGCTTGCTTGCAAAGATTTAGGTGCTGCCCCTATTTCCAGCGAAAATACATACTTGAGCAAAACTACAACATTAAACACTTATTAATTTTCAAATGAAAAAACTTACATTTCAAATACAAAGTTTGAAAATGTTTGTGTACTTTTATGAAAGTTGGAGAACATGCTTCTCTCTCCTCCAGGCCGGCGTCGGAGTACTCTAGCCCATCAGGGCGTCCGCTGAGCTGCGTGGTAGACGAGAACACCCCTGTGATGACTCCGGTTAACGGGGCGGTGGCCAGCGGTCCTCCGGGCGAACAGCGGATCCAGGAGCGACGGGTTCGATCACAGCGACATCGAAATTACATGAGTCGGACACACCTGCACACTCCTCCTGACCTGCCAGAGGGTTATGGTGAGACAGAGCCATGAGACGTTCACATGCAAAACAACTAACTATAACACATCATTATGTCCTCGTAACTTTATTTTTTATACATTTATATTCATTATCGCTGAAGATCAACACAGGACCAACGAGACAACAGAAGGTGTATAAGACCACATGGCTACGTAGACAGAATCCTGCTTTTATGTTATGAACCAGCCCAACACTTCGTGAATTTTCATGAATTTCAAAGAAAGGTAGAGCCCTCGGTTAAAAAAAACAAAACAAAACGCATCAGTGGACATGGTGCTTACACCTCAGAGTGCCTGCTGAGTCATTTTAAACAGCCTTAAGAGAAAACTACAAACTCTGAAAAGCCTTTAAGATGATCTATAAATGAATTAGTTGGTATTTCAACACAAACAGAATAAAACAGGCCAAACAAGCACACAGAAGCTTTATGTTTGCGTTTCCGAAGTCTTTTGATGCTTAAAGGTTTTTGAAATGTATGTTTCTATCCACAAAAGGGTAAACTAAATGCTTCTTAAGTGCTTTAGTGTTTAAAGACTGTATTTATCACAGTGACTTTACTTTTAGAGCACAAACACATTGTAAAAAACTCAAGTATATTTATCTAGTAACGGTGGAATCGTTTCTTTTTCCTTCTTCAGGAAAAAAAAGGTGCTTTTTAGAGTCAGCCACGGTCCAACCCACAATACCCACAGAGTCTCTTATAAAAATATATATATTTTAGTTTAAGTGTGGTGCTTTATGCCAGTGATTCAGAATGACACCGTTGGGCCCATGCCTCCTCCTCTGAAAGGTCCTGCAGCATCCAGTCAGGCTGGTGGAGGTCGGACAAAGTGAGTCACCGATGCCCAGCGGCTTCAGAGCTGTCCTCCTCAGCTGAACTCTCTGAACTCCCCTCTCTGGGTGTGGTGAGACGGAGGGGGAGGCGGCGCGAGGAGGGGAAAAGAAATGGAGAGGTGGATAGGAAATAAGAGGTGCCAGTAGGAAGTTGGGTCAGAGGGGTGGTGTTGTGATGGATTAGTCTGTGATTATACACACAACACCACGCCCACACAGATTGTTCCAGAGTTCACTTACTTTGTCCAATAATCCATAAACTCAGTGGGACCAGACAAACGAGACCAAAACACGCTAATCTATGCTTTAGGAAAGCAGCACGGGCGTTTTAATTAAATTTCTAAGCAAAAACACATTTTAGATCTTTGACCATTTTCCTTTATAAATTATTTTCCCCATAAACTCCTGAGAAAACGGTTTATGAGACTTGAGTTCGCCCTGATGAGTTGGTAGGTTAACGCTGTTCTCGTGGTTTGCTTATGTTCATCAGAGCTTGGCAACAAAGCCACACCGTCATCAGCTGCTTGACACCTGCTCCATTTTAGTATTTACGTTTTTGCCCTTAATTTAGTCGCCGTCCTTACCAAATCAAATTTTTTTCCAGAGCAAAGAACAACCCAGCAGGGCCAAGTATACTTCCTCCACACACAGACTGGAGTCAGCACTTGGCATGACCCCCGGGTGCCCAGGTACCTCCTTTATCTTCACCTGTTTCCATTTGAGAGTTAAGAGTTGTTTAATTGTGCTTTTTTGAACCAATTCTCGATAGTTTTATAAAACGTAACTTGCAGCACAGTTGCAGTGTGTCTTTGGGCTCCTTTTCAACGCTGAAGCGCACGAATCAACATCTGGGTCCAGTCCTTCTGGGCAGAGCTGCTGAAATGACCCGGTATTTTTGATGAGGGAAGCATGTTGTGTTTCTCATTCCTGACGGATGTGTCGTCTCATATCTGAACCAGCAGAAATACTCAAGAATTAAAAATGACCACTTTGTTCTGATCAGCCTTCTGTGTGTGTATAAAACAATATCAGGAGTCATAGGAGTCTGAAGTCGGTGAGAAGATCCAGCTCTCCGGTATGCACACAGGAAGGAACGACCTTGTCTTTTTGTTCTCAGGGATCTGAGTAATGTAAACTGTGAGGAGCTGGGCCCGCTGCCACCAGGCTGGGAGATCAGAAACACCGCCACCGGACGGGTCTACTTTGTCGACCACAACAATCGAACCACTCAGTTCACAGACCCGCGACTCTCTGCTAACCTACATCTAGTGCTAAAGTGGGTGAACAAGTTCTTTTCAGCCACTTAGTTTATATCTGGTAGCATGATCACAAATAGTGTTTGATTACAGCAAAGAAATGCTAACCTAGCTTCATCTGTCCTGAGATGTCTTTATACTACTTTATAACTGCTGAGTCAGCTCAATATGGCAACATTTCTGTTTAATACCAGATTCCCTGTTTTTTTAACACGACTGCAAACATGGACTGTTTTCTAGATAATTTCATTGGTTTCCTGCAGCTGCTTTTGGAAAAATTTAATCTCTGTTTTCTGTTCTGTTCTCTCTCTCTATTGATTTCTATTTGTCCCGTCTGTCCTCCTTTTGTTACTTTTTCATCTCACTCTGCTCCAATCCTCTCTTCTCGTGCCATCCATCTCTTTCTGTGTTCTTCCCATCTGTGGTCCTCTCTTGCTTTTCACTCTCTCCTTTTCTCTGCTCTTCTCCTTTTTCTCCAGCAGTCCAAGTCCAAATGGTTCCCGTGTGGCCACGGAAAGCCAGAATACTAACCTCAGGTAACCCCCCCACACACACACACACACACACACACACACACACACACACACACACACACACACACACACACATACATTTATACATTGAAAAGGGGGGAAAAATATATGTACACACAATTGCAAGCAGATAATAAACACATGCCTGCATGCTTAGACAAGGTCTGTAATATATATGAACAATTCTCTTAGCACACACACAGGTGTGTGTGTGTGTGTGTGTGTGTGTGTGTGTGTGTGTGTGTGTGTGTGTGTGTGTGTGTGTGTGTGTGTGTGTGTGTGTGTGTGTGTGTGTGTGTGTGTGTGTGTGTGTGTGTGTGTGAGATAGTTTATGCCTTCTGTCAGCAACCTGCCTTCACCGAGGATCATCAGCTCAGAGGGAGCGGGACTCGTAGTGCCGACCCCACTCAGAGAAACGCAAAACACGTGTTGACGCAGCAGCTGTTAGCTTACCATCAGTTCTTATTTTCTCTTTGACGTGACACTCGGTCCAGAGGAGAGTATAATTAGAGAAATGTCCGAGGGTTCTCATGTAAACAAGAGCCACGGGCTGCATGAGCACGGTAAACAAAATTTATGTTTTTTCCTTCTAGGAGGTTTTGCAAGAAACAAAGGAAAAAAGCAGATTTTTCCTTCTTTTCTTTTCTGGTCTAAACCTTCTGCAATAACAGCGTCTGGCAGGATAAACATGTTTGGGAAATCAACATCTGGTCATTTGGTCAAATAGTATCCATATGTGTGTGAGCCGGCTCTGGTTGTGAGCTGAAGCTCCGCTATGTGCTCCCATCAGCTTCATTAACTGCTCGTCTCACTCCTTATTGGAAGAGATTGATGGGGTCCAGATGATGTTTTAGAACGCTGAAAAGGTCGAGTTTAATTAGCTGTAATGTGGAGTTCAGCTTGTTGCTGTGTGCACATCTAAACACCAAAAAGGATCCAATACAAAATAAAAATTAAAAATGCTTGAGTTCCAGTTCCAGGCAGAGGGTTAGGGTGGTGGTGTGCTGAGATCTATGTCTCTGGGTGGAGTGGAAGGGCAGTTTTATCGCATTTTCCTAGGCGAAAGGGCATCAAGAACACAGGTGGATAAACTGGAAAAAGCTTCAGGTGAGAGTAAATAAACAGCACAGCGACCACATTTACAGATATAATATTTACACGTATTACACACACATTCGTGCTTAGTGAAAATCAAAAATGCACAATGCTTGTGTTCAAAGCCTTTGGTCTGCAAAGAGAAACCAGCCCAACCAGTCATCCCACTTCAAGTCTTTGTTGTTTCATGTGTCATCTCTTCCTTATTTGTTCATTTCCCTTTAACCTCCCTCAACTTTTATTCTTAGTCATTTCTTCCTTTATCTGTCTTACCCCAGACCTGTTTTTAGACACTTGTCTCACACAGATTCAGGACTTCTTTCTTTAATCCAACATCAGAATGAAATATCAGAACATTCAACACCCTCATGGGGGTTGATGACACAAGCAAGCAATTAATCCCTTGATGACCCTTCAGTAATGCAGCTCTGCAAGACGTGACCTGGATGAACAGCTAAATACCACATGCTGGTACTGGTGTTTAAAAATACCAGTTATATCACAATAGAGGCGTTCCTTACAATCAGAAAACAAGTCGAGGAGACAATCCAGAGGCTAGAGCTACATAAAGACTGTAGCAGAACTTTATTGTGAATCTTTGTGTTCTCTTTGTTAAAGGACATGACTTTTTCCACGTGGTAGACCAAGCCTATTCTCCAGCTAGATTTAGCATAAAGATACGTGATGATACCATCAGAAGAAAATGTCCTGATTACATAAAGTATGTTACAAAAACAAAAGTTGCTCTTTAAGGTTAAACTCTATCAAATACAACGATGAGAGCATCAGACGTTGGGTTAAAATTAGGAATTTACTGCTTTTTCAGGGATATCCAATAAAAAAAAATTAAAAACTAAATAATTTTAGCTAGCTACCATCACATAGCTCCCATCATTGATACTTCAATTTTAATCATTATCTGTGCAAAATATGACATCTGCTGCAATTAAAGTAGGGCAAATAGTGTCAAACAAACAAAAACATCTCAAAAACTAAACTTTGTATCGGTCCTTTTTGTTATTTTGAATTAGAAGATAAGTAGCAAGAGTTTGGTATATATTATCAATCAAATTTTATTTGTATTGCGCCTTCCACTGACTTTACAGAATGCTGAACATAACATGAAAACAACAAAAGAGCAACGAGACCATAAGACAGATTAAAACTCCATAAAAGAGTGACTAAAATAACAAAACGGATACTATAAAAGACTAAAATTCTAAAAATCCATATTGCATATAAGCCAAACGATTAAAAAAAGTCTTCAAACAACTCTTTAAGACCTGCAGTGATGGGGACTGTTTGACAACAAGTGGGAGCTTGTTCCATAGTGTTGGAACTAGGACAGAAAAGATCCTATCACCTCTTGTTTTCAGCCTTGTTCTTGGGACGATGAGCAAATCCTGGTTAGCTGAGCTGAGCACATCCCTGCTCATAGTAGGAATGTGTATTGGTGAAATTGTGGCAATACGATATGTGTCACTATACGGGGGAGACGATATAATATATCACGATATATTGCGATACATTCAGCCAGACAATATTGGTGATTTTTTTAGACTGAATTTAATATAGGAGAATTCAATAAACAGTCCAAACTGATACGTAACATGTTTAACATGAGGTATCTGAACCATAATAGAGGGATTTACATTTCAATGTTGGAAACAAATCCCATCTCACACTGCTGCCAACTAGCGGTCTGTGTTTGAATTGCACCAAAAGAAAAGAAAATACACAAATGTTTGCATGTAAATTCTTCCATAAATTATATAAACTGCTTTTGAATATTGATATAATATTGCAGGAAAAAGTATCACAATATATTGCCATATCGATATTTTCGATACACGGCTTTGAATATCAATATTGCTGGAAAAAATATCACGATATATTGCCATATTGATATTTTCTTACATTCCTAATTATGAGTATGGTATGTAAAAGTTGTCATAAAAGGAATACTATGCAACTTTTTCACATTTTTAAGTAATTTTCTTGAGGAATGGGCTAAAATGACCTTTTACTGCAGGGCTGTTTAATTTCAGGCCTCGAGGGCCAGTATCCAGCACGTTTCAGGTTTAACCCTGCTTCAACACACCTGATTTCTATCAGCAGGTGTTTAACAGGCCTTTGCAGAGCCCGATGAGCTGCTGCACAGGTGATTCAACCAGTGGATCTAGTGTTGGAGTAGAGAAATGTCTAAAACGTGCTGAATACCAGCCCTTGAGGCCCGGAATTGTAAAGTCCTGCTTTACAGGGTTAATAAAATGTCACTCAGACCCCCATCGCCCCCTGTGGCCAGAATACCAACCTTGCAACTTCAGAGTGGCAGGCTGCTTCCTGCTGGACGTATAAAAGTGGAGCTGACATGCCTAGCCCTGGTCTGCTTCCAGCACATTTCCTTCATGTTTTAGATCGTGAACACAGCTGGTTTGTTTGATGAAATAATGAATCACTCCTGTAGACACTGTGAAAGCTGAGAAGACATTTCATCTGTTAGATTAAGGCATTAAAAAGACAACCGCACAGCGAGGAGAGTAGTTTCACTTTCGGTTTCACTAAACAGATACCAGGGGGTGCTAAAAGCAAGCCAAAGTGCCTAGTTTCCCTTTTAAAAAATAAAACCTGATGCTGATTTCTGATTTTACATTTTAATGCTGGTATCTACCAATAATAATGCTAGTGGGATATTGTCAGACATCCCTATTTAAATTAAAGCTTTACTTTATTTTTCAACTTATTTTGTAGGTGAAAACATTTATTTTGAAATTTGTAGACTCCAAAAATGGTCAGTTTTCCACCTACAGTCTGACCTCTTCAGTATCTGGCCATTTGGAGACATAAGTCTTAACTGGTGCCTTTAATCTGCAAGAAAGATACTGTTGTTTGTCCAAGGCCCCTCGCAAGCTCCCTCTTATCTAAGACTGCTTTACTTCACAGAACAAGGATGAACTTTCATAATTAAATCATATAATGAAGTGAACAATATGAGTAACTAATCATATAAGGAAATGGACAATGTGGTTAAATGAAATGTTTTGATTAACATGTGCTTAAATTACTGAAGTTGAAAGGAATGTGTTATTATTACATTGAAAGATTAATAAGGATGAAATGAAATATATGACCCATATACTTAATCAGCGCACTGACTGGACAAGACACACTCACCATCTCCATGACGCAAGTTAAAATTAACGTCACTGCACATATTTTCTTATCCACAAAATCAGCATCTTCATATCTGAGCGAGGTGTGTATCTGAGGTTGTTGGCAAAACCCATTTACAGGTCAAATTCTGATTTGTCAGTAAACCAAAATATGGTCATTATTTAAACAGAATCACTTCCTGAGTGACTCAGTTGAGCCCAACTCTGACTGGCAGTCAGAGGAAGCCTCTTCTCCCATCGCATCTTTTGACAAGCTGTCAATACCTGTTGCACGTTACAGCTGACGCAAACGGTTCCTTCAGAACAAAGCTGACACAGCTCCCACTCCCTAAGAGTTGTTCCATAGATGCAAAACAAGTCCACCTGTTTGCCGTGACCTGGAGATGACTCTGGACTGACCCGGTCGTACTGTGGTTTCTCTACGAACTTCGGTACTGTGGGGTTCACGGACTGCCCGACATCTCAGATCCAAAAGAGTCTCCGATAAGGGTACGAAGACATGACAAGATTGCGTCTGATGTGGTTTTGTAAACTATCACTTGTAGTTTATAGCAGACCAAATTCACTCCCACTCAAAACTCAGTTTCTCCAGATACGGAGGTTCTGATAACATCACATTCACACATTGTTATGGAAAAACATAAAATCCATGACACACATCATCACACCTCACATTCCATCCACTTAGATTCATTCATCACATAAAGTGTTGCCTAGTTGTCATGTTTTTAATTGTTTAGAAAATAAATTTCTTACTTTTTACAAACCTGACTGTCTGAATTAATACTTAGTGTCTTACGATCCCTGAATAAACAAAGAATCCTAATTCTTCTGGTTAAACATTCAAAGACCAATCAGACTGGATTTCCATATTTATATAGAAATTCACATCTTCTTGGTCAAATGTAGTTTAGTATATTGAGCTTGAAAAGCACCCAAAATAAATACGCATGCTAACCCAACAAATTCAATCAATGTTTATTTATATAGTGCTTTACACTACCTAGAGGGTGACCGAAGTGCTTAGCATTTAAAATGGAATTAAGAACAGGTAAAACATTGAAGAACAATGTTAAAGACAGTAAAAAAAATAAAAAGATGAAATGCTAAAATCAAGAAATAAAACCTACTTTTTTTCATTCATTGCTAACTAAATAAATGTGTAACCTTGAGACCAATTTCAGTGCTATTTGCTAAAGGTCAGAAACAACAAATCTACTTTAAAACTCTAAAATGACCCCGTTAGTCTTTAAGACTTCAGGTCAGTCCTCAGACTGTCCTCTAGTCCTGCTCTAGTGACTAGATCACTTTGAAGCAAATTCAACTCGGTTCTTGATTTTAATCACACGTGACCTCCGCTAACGCTTTGACGTGCCCGGTCCAAATGCCTTAAGACAACATTTTTTTTTCACCCTCTGATCCCAAGCATTACTTTTGCTGACATGCCACATGTTTTAGCCCAGTTTTGTGCTTGCTAGTTAACTTTTACCACCTACTTCTTTCAAACACGTGTTTTGTCTGCTAGACTTTTGATTCACAGAGCAGATATTTCATTTCGAGTCCACCGTTTGCACTTCAGCTGTCTGATCTTCTGCGTGTACATATAATTGAGACAGCCGTTACATGTGACCTCGACCGATGGAGGTCTTAAATTGCCAGACAGTCAGACACATCTGCATTACTGTGGTCTACCACACCGTCTCTCACATACTGAGCTTCCAGCAGAACGTGTGTCTGAGAGATTACATCAGTGTTTGCTGAGGGTATTTTTAGTTGGCACTGGATTTAGGTTCGGTGGGCATCAGTAGGTGTTTTCCCAACCGAATTGTGACACGTATGTCAATATTTGCATTGATGTTTTAAGAAGTGCTGAGTGTGTAAGGAGCTGTTTATTTATGTGGCATATTTAACCTATGAAGGTTGAGTACAAACACTGACTGTTAACCTGCAAGTGAAAGAACTTTTTTTTTTGCATCCATGCACAATAATTGTGACCTGATCAGTCTGTTTATGTAGCTGATTTTGATTCTGAAGCTGATACAAACAAATACGAGTCAAACTAAAGTCAATTTAAACTGCAAATCTGTCATTTTCCCCATTGGAAAATGTGCAGAGCAAATTTATTAAACTAAAACCAAGATTATCTTCAATAATGAAACTTTAGAAGACCTTTAGTGTCTACAAATGTTACCTCTTTTACTCAGTAGGCTTTTTTTGCCTTTCCAAACCACAGTCTGTCTGCATCGGGTTTCCTGTAATTTATGTCATTTTAGAGAGGGCAGATGTGGGAGCTTTGCTGTTGGGAAGAATGTTAGAGGTCATTCTTTCATTGGCATTCTTGGCTTTTTTCTTGTTTTTTTTTTTTTTTCCCCACATGTACTTTAAGCAAGAGTGTAAAACGTGACCGAGCAGACTCGTAAAGTGTCTCCATATTCTCTGGGTGGCTGGTGTGGCTTTACCATGACTAAACTTAGTCAACATGCTCAACGCCTCACCTGTGCCAGCTGCTGTGTGAATGAAGCAACTACACGTTGTCACGCAGAAACATGCGATGCACTCTCACTCTGTCGTGGATGTCATCTGTGTCTCCTAATAGAAACTCGGAAGAATCCGAACACTGTTTCACAAACTTTACGGAAGTATGTCCTATCAACTTTACATTTCCTGTTTTTACCATTAAATATGTAACACTCATTGCCTTTGGAAACCAGAGATTAGTTAAACATGTTCATGCACCCTCAAAAGTGCACTAAAATAACACTTTATTATACGTTTCTTGAGTCTTTGAGCCAACAGGAAACGGATCCATTTGTCCTAAAGCATCTTTTCTTGCCATCCTCCTTCCTAAAGTAGTTTTCGAGAATGCTTCGCTGCAGTCTTACCCTTTATTTGACATGCGTGCAGCCCCAGAGCCTGCCAATAAAATAAATAGCAACGGGTTTGATTATATGGGGATACACTGGCGAAAACACAGCATATATTTAGTTTGGAGAGCTCAAATTGATAGATTGGGGCTTTTCAACTAAAGGTCGACCCGATGTTTTTTAAAGGCCGATGCCGATACCAATTTTTAAAGAATTTTGTTGCAGATGACCGATACCTAAAGGCGATATATACGTTTTAGCAGCACATTGATTATGAAAGACAACTGAACACTCACTGTGTGCAATATAAATGAAATAATTAAATGAATCTCATATTTATTCAATTTCAAATATAAAACAAACTCAAAACATAAAAAAATTGGTGTGTTTGGGTCCTCTGGGTCCCTTCTTCAGTCTAGTAGTGGCAGCAGTTGGCTACACAGGTACCTGATTTTAAAAAAATGTTTCCATCGGCTTTTAAAAACAAATTCGGCCGATATAGGAAAAAATTTGAATATATCAGTTGGCTTCTATTTTCAACCCACTGAGGCTGAGATCCGAAGCACAAAAGTGTGTGGCTATGTGCTGCTGTGTCAGAGGGCCGCCCATCCTTCATACATCCGTCTAGGCCTCTCGGTTGGCTGCCTTTGTTTGACCCACATCAAGCCTTGATGCTGCACTCCCAGCAGAGGACAGTAGCCTCTTTTAAAGAAGACTTCTGCTGGCTCAGCGTCTCCTGCAAAGAGAAAGAGGGTTGCTGTCCTGCTGAAAGGAAAGATTATGTTTTTATGAGGCCCACCCAAGCATTTCACCACCAGCACCACAGTGTGGGCTGGAAAAGGCCAAAGCTAGAAGGCTCACCTTTATCCAGATTTTTATCTCGTATCTTTTAAAAACAGAAGCCCAGAATGGCTCCAGTCCAAAGTAGGATAAAGGTCAGTGTTTGTTCGTGCAATCGTCTCTTCGCCCTGTTCACACCCCTCCCTAAAGGGGACCGTTGGGTTTAAACAGCGTTCATTCATTAAATCACTATCTCAAAATGCTCTGCTTGTATCACAGTAGATGCAAATGTGTTGCAACAGTGACAAATATGGATAAAGATGCAGAAGAGAAGTTGATGTTCAATCAGCATGTTACAACCATTAATAACAAATCGGAACGTAGATTAGCTTTGGGGGTTCAGGCTGGTCAGTCAGTACCTTTCAGATGCTAAAAATTCTGTCATTTCAGATTTCTAGTGCTTAGGGATGGAAGAGTGGATAATGTTCTGTTTTATGTAACCAGTTCTGGGTTTTCCTGTTTAGTCGAGTCAGATGTTCCAGCGGGCCTTCTAACATTTTCCTTGGTGAATGTGCATGGATTTCTCATTCTGCTTCCTTGGAGTGCAAATCCCCCTGTGTGTGCTTCCTGCTGGTGATTTTTACCAAACGTTTATTCTTTACCCGTTCGCAGGTTTGGATCAGGTTTGGTCGGGGCTTTCACTTCTGTTTGGCTTTCTTTGCTTTTATACCAGTGAGGAGGGTTAGAGAGGGAATTTCTGACTAAACTTCCTTGGCCAGTGGTGGAGCATACACAGGATGAAGTAGTTTGGGAATTCCCTGCACAACATATCCTATCTTTGTATAAAGCTGTTGCGTGCTCCGGATTCAGAGCAGCAAACAGGAATAAATACTATCCTGGTGATTGTAGAACCTTTGGTTTTATGAAAGCTAGAAGCCGCTTTGGTTAACCCTGGATCCTTTTGACTCATCCTGTCTTCCTCCTCTTTTATGTTCTTCATTTCCCTTTGCTCACCTTTGTCCACTCCAGCCACCCGACTCAGCTGAAGGACCAGAGTGGTCCTGGGGGCCCACCGCAGGCTCTGTCCCCAGCTCAGTTACCTGAAGAGGCGGAGTGTCTGACGGTGCCCAAATACAAGCGAGACCTAGTGCAGAAGCTGAAGATCCTGAGACAGGAACTTTCACAGCAGCAACCTCAAGCCGGTCACTGTCGCATCGAGGTCAGCCGTGAGGAGATCTTTGAGGTAAGCAGCATAAATATGGATGCCATGTATACATTTCATCACCTGTCAGTCAAAACAACCTGTGCTGTAGTGAGCAGGTCAAACTTAAGTCTTTGCTCGTCCACGACATTCTCAGAGCAGAACAAGAACTCTGCTTCTTTGTGGTTTCCAGAGCAAAGCAGAAACTGAATGACCTTCATCACATCTCTCTTTCTCTCTCAACCTCCATCTCTCTCTGTCTGTCAATTCAATTCAAGTTTATTTATAAAGCGCCAAATCACGACAAGAGTCGTCTCAAGGCACTTCACATAATAAACATTCCAATTCAGGTCAGTTCATTAAGCCAATCAGAAATAATGTTTCCTATATAAGGAACCCAGCAAACTGCATCAAGTCACTGACTAGTGTCAGTGACTATACAGCAGTCATCATAGTAAGCAAGCATGCAGCGACAGTGGAGAGGAAAACTCCCTTTTAACAGGAAGAAACCTCCAGAGAATCCTGGCTCAGTATAAGCAGCCATCCTCCACAACTCACTGGGGATGGAGAAGACAGAGCACACACACACACACACACACACACACACACACACACACACACACACACACACACACACACACACACACACACACACACACACACACGCTCACACACACACACACACACACACACACACACACACACACAATGTGTCTATAGTTCTATTGTGACTTCTTAGTAAATATTCTATTTGGTGAGATAAACTTTATTGTATTTATTCTAGTGAATCTATAATTAAACGGGTAAACTAGTAGTAGCACATCCAACGTCAAGGAAAGCATAAAGTTATTATCAGGAGAGGGAGAATGTTTAAGTGGTTAGCAGCAGTGTGCTAGTCGATGGCCCCCTCCATGAGGCCACCACAGCTCAGCAGAGTGTCGTTGTAGCTTCTTCTGGGGAGAAAAACACTTAGAGAAAAAATAAAGTTAACAGCTGAAATTGCAGAAAGTAATACAGTTAAAGAGCAGATGGTAGAAGAAAGTAGTCGAGTCTCCCACCCCATCTTTTGCTCTACTTCCCTCACATTTATTTTTGGTGCCGTTTTATTCCTTTTCGGACTCTTGCTTAGTTTTTCCAATCATCTATTATGACTGAGGTGAAGGTATTCTTTCTAGGTAATTTCAGCAGCCACGGCTTTAGAGGGGTGGGGTGGGTGAAGAGAGGAGGGATGACAGCAGTGGCGAGTATTTGTGACGAGATTTAAGTTCAGAACTGTGAGCCGAGCTATGAAAGTGGATGACTTGGTCCCACTTCGACATGACAGATGTGTGAGAAGGAAGTGACGTTTCTCTTGAGGTTTTTTCTGCTGGAGCCGGCGAAGCAGGTGACCCCCAGCGGTGGCACAGCCAGTCTGTTGACTCATAACTAAAGCTGAACTCTTCTCACGATATCGTTCAAGACCTTTGTAAGAATTCTAAGGGGAAAAAAGATTTGCAGTATTGATCTTTTCTACCTTTTTTTTTTTTCCTTCAGACATATCAATGTTTATAAAGCAGTAGTTTTGTGAGTTTCCTTCCTACCCCGAGTTCTTATAAATGGTTTCAGGATGTTTGTCTACATTAATTCATCTTTATTCTCTAAATGAAAATACCAAATCTTTTCGTATTTACTGTGAATCTCAGGAGTCCTACAGGCAAGTCATGAAAATGCGCCCGAAAGATCTTTGGAAAAGACTGATGATCAAATTTAGAGGAGAAGAGGGGCTGGACTATGGAGGGGTGGCGAGGTACGTTCTTGTTTCTGTCGATTTGATTTATCAGCAAACCTGCCTTCCTGCTGCGACTTAAGTAGGCTGTAATCGTGTGTGTGTGTGTGTGTGTGTGTGTTTTGTTAGGGAATGGTTATACCTGCTGTCACACGAGATGCTGAACCCATATTACGGCCTGTTCCAGTACTCCAGAGACGACATCTACACGCTGCAGATTAACCCAGACTCTGCTGTCAATCCAGTAGGGATCCTGCCCGTTTGAATCAGTGGAATTGTAGGAATTTCCCATGGATGTAGGTTAACGGGAGATTTGTTACCGATTCGATCCTCAGGAGCACCTGTCGTACTTCCACTTCGTGGGCCGCATCATGGGCATGGCGGTGTTTCACGGTCACTACATCGACGGAGGCTTCACGCTGCCGTTCTACAAGCAGCTGCTGGGGAAACCGATCACGCTGGAGGACATGGAGTCCGTCGATCCCGACCTCCACAACAGCCTTGTTTGGATTTTGTAAGACTGACTTTTCACCTGTCTGCTGCTCAGAATATTACTGCCCAGTGTTTGTCTAATTCAGTCAGACTACGTGTTTTTGATATTAAAATAAAACTTCAGATGGAGCTAACAGTCTGGAATTTAATGTTGTCATTAGCAAACTCTTTTCTGGGAAACTGAGCTTGCCTTTGGCAAATACATTTACTTCCACGGGAAACGGTTGTGAGTGTAACAGAAATGAAAACATTGTGATCTATCATTACATATTTATAACTTTTCAATTTCTTAGTTTAAATTGAGGTTAAAGCTGAATGAGAATACCTTCAGTCTAAAAGTAGGCTGTTCCACCTTTACTCGTTTGTCATTTATTCTAAGTTTATCTTTCTTTTTGTAATTTTTTTTTGTCCAAATAAATAAAGTGTGACTTTCTGTGCCTCGCTTCCTCAGAGGAAACGACATCACCGGAGTCCTGGATCACACCTTCTGTGTGGAGCACAACGCCTACGGAGAAATAATCCCACATGAGCTCAAGCCCAACGGGAAGAGCCTCCCAGTGACGGAGGACACCAAGAAAGAATATGTCAGGTACGTAAACAAAAAGGATATGACATCATCATGAAGCGCCACATGGTCAACATCCTTCATTTTGTGATTTTTTTCCCCCACTATAGATTATATGTGAACTGGCGTTTCCTCCATGGCATCGAGGCTCAGTTTTTAGCCCTGCAGAAAGGCTTCAATGAGGTCATCCCTCAGCACCTCCTCAAATCCTTCGATGAGAAGGAGCTGGAAGTATGTCCGTCAGAGTCGCACCTGTGAGAGGCTTTTGTTTTCTAAAGAACGACGGGTTAACCCAGCTGTCTTACCTGTGTGTTCAGCTGATCGTGTGCGGTCTGGGGAAGATCGACGTTGCAGATTGGAAGTCCAACACCCGTCTGAAGCACTGCACCCCCGACAGCAACATCGTCAAGTGGTTTTGGAAAGCTGTGGAGTCTTTTGATGAAGAGAGGAGGGCCCGACTCCTGCAGTTTGTTACCGGTTCATCCAGAGTCCCGCTGCAAGGCTTCAAGGCGTTACAAGGTACCTGACATACGTGTTGATCAGCTTGAGTCTTATTTCAGAAGGGAGAGATGCTAAGGGACGTAAAGAGCAGCGTTTGAGGACCAAACCCAACAAAGCGAACTGTGGTCTTTTTGAAGAAGTTCTGTTGCGTTGGAACAACATGGGTGATTTTACAGCAATGTAAATGTTGCTTATTTTCTTTTCCTTCTATTCTACTCCAGCGACTTTTCCAATTTTACAATTATCGGTTATTTGTTGACATCTGCTCATGTAATTTCCCACTGATTTACAACCAATGAGCATGAGGTAACCACAAGCCACGCCCAGTGACTCTACCAGCACATTTCTGCGTATATACCCCAGTTCTGGCACCTGGTTGGTCCTCTCGGGCTGACCTGGTGAAATGGAGACATGTGCATGTCGTTTTGTAAAATTAGCCAGAAACTGGCTTAAAATAATAAACCAAGGCTGACTGAAGACTTTGGCACTTTGCTGTATTATTCAATGTCGTTGAATGCAATAAAACAGACTGTTTATCTTCGCTGTGAATCAATAATCTGGTTTTTTTAACTAGAAAAATGTCCAAATCATATTTATCAGGGACATAAATAAAAACCGTATTTTAATCACAGGGGCTGCTGGACCCAGACTGTTCACCATCCATCAGATCGATGCCAACACCAACAATCTGCCCAAAGCCCACACCTGGTAAGTCATACATGCTCTCGTGGACACGTGCACGCACATCACCCCGTCATAGAGGTCAGCTTAGCTGTTGTTTGTCTTATTTTCTTCTCCAGTTTCAACCGGATTGACATTCCTCCTTATGAGAGCTATGAGAAACTATACGACAAGCTACTGACGGCGATCGAGGAGACGTGTGGCTTCGCTGTGGAATAAGAGCCAAACTGAAGAATCTGAGTCTGTTAACTTTACCTGACCCTAATAAACAATTATCGTCGTCGCTGCATCGCGCTGGTTAGATCTCCGTGAGCAACTAGCCTGTGGTCTTCCTCTTCTCACAGCATCCAATACTCTTCTATCTACATCTGAGCAGCTTTTAGTCCCTCCATCCGGCTCTGGTCTACTTTTAGGAACTGTACGTTCAACATCTCCACAAAATGCATAAATCCTGACAAAAATTCACTGGTTTATCTGCAAACGTTGGTTCAGTTCATCCTACCTCAGTGAAACGCTTTTAGAATCCGTCAAAGCGGCGATTGGACCCAGATTTAGAAAGTCGAGTTCCTACAGCAGTGATTGTTTTGACACCAGCAGTCGTTTTTGTGAAATTGCATCATTTAAAACGTGACCATATCATTATGGCGTGGGACTCATCAGGTCATTTGTGTCTTTGTTTTAAGCATGTCTGAGTATTAAGTTCTCTATGTTGTTATTTTCAACCCTCACGATTAAAAAATAAACCCTGTCCTTAACCCAACGCGCTGATGTCAGAGTTGAACTGAAAAGGGCAAAAAATTAGTTAAAAAATAAAAACGGTTCTAGCTGGATTACTTTTCTCAGCCACGGCCGTTTTTATTTCTGTCGATTAAGAGCACTTTACAGTAATGGCAGGAGTGCTTTCTTCACGCTTTTGTGTGCAGCAGCAGTAATAATACTCAGAATAAAAACTATCTGTAATTTTTGATTATATATAAATATATGTACAAAGATATAGCTATTTTGTATATTGTTGCTTCTTTCTCCAGTTTAAATGCAAGCATGTTGATGTATTTCAGACTTCTACATTCTCAGGTGAACTTGTCTTTTTTTTTGTTTGTTTATATTTTCTCTTCTTTTTAATCACACATATGCTTTTATGTGATGAAGCAACATTAAAAATCCCTTCCTGGTTTTATTTTTAGGCAAACATTATGCAAACATTTGCTGCTATACAGGCTTTTGTCACCGTGGAACAGATTTACATGACCTTGTTAATTATGCACAGAAGGGTTTCATGTGAAGTTTGGATGATGGAAAACTTAAGTTTAAATGGACGGTCCACAGTAAAAATAGTCTAAAACCCAGAGAGGGTTGGGGTGAGGCGCTTCAACAGAAAGTGCATGCATGGATTCTTGAGAGAAAGTTTATTTATTAGTCGTTATTATAGAAAATGCTTTAATTAGAAAAATCATTTAAATGTAAGTTGTCTGCTTTTATTTACAAACAGAATTTCTTGGATCAATTTTTTTCATAATAAGGCAAAAGCAAACGAGTACAGATCCTCGTGCGGCCAATGTCTTCAAGATCTAAAGAGTGCATTGCTGCAACTTCTGTTTTTCCTTTATGTGCAAATTATGCATATGTGGGCTCAAGCTGTTAATCCAACACTTCCTTCTATGTATCAAGTACCTGTTAGGCTGATTAATCTTTATGTAGATTTCCATATTATGTGCACACTTGTGTTTATCCAGACGAGCTTATTTTGTTGTTTTTTTCTACTGGTTCACTTTCAACGTGCAAAAGTTTCACAAAATCCATTCAGTTTAAAATCCAAATCTGTCATAATGTTCTTCTTTTCAGTCGACCAGTCTGTGATATGAAGAGATTTCTCTGCTCTGATCTAAACAGTCACAAATCACAACCTGGTGTTGAACATCCTCACCTGTTAAAGCCAGATGCAACAAATGTGTGTGTACCCGCATGTGTGTGTGGGCCGTTCATAGAGCTTAATCAGAGTTTTATGTTTAAGCATTTTTGTATGTTTGGTCGTAACTTTTGATTGAATTTAGCACCAAACATTTGGAATGGCCTCATCTTTACTTATTTTTCTTTGTATTTATTTTAACAGTACGCCTGTTCATAGTTTCCAGCTGCTCTGTGAGTTTGTAACTTACACTTGTACATACGGACAAGACACAACGCAAGAAACTTGTTATACCCTTACAGAACACTGAGCAATAAAAAATATGCTGTTTGGAACTGACAGCTCTATGTTTTATAGAACTATGTGCATTATTGTCTTTTTTTTTTTTTGGACTGCCAGAACATGGAAAAAGTTTTGAATATAAATGAGTACTTTTGGGGATGTTATTTCTCTGCATTATTTGACCCATCTCTGCATTAAGTGGGCTGCCATTTGTTAGTATTTTGACAGGCTATTAAAGGTAAGGAGTGTGTGCTGGGCAGGTGGGCCACGGTTTGTTTACAACTTAACTAGACAAGGAATTCTATTTAAAAATTTAAAGATATGTGTTACTTTATGGTCCAGACTAGGTGACAACAAAGCTACGTTTACTGTTGTGCATTGTTGCAACTTTGCTGGACAGTCATCGCCCTCTTGTGGGACTTTATGGTAATGCACAAAAAGGCTTTTCTAAACAAATATTTTTCCGAAATGTTTTAATTTAGGCAATAAGTCAACTTAGGCTGTTAGAACTAGTGATTAACCGATATGAAATTTTTGGGCTGATACCGATATTAGGATCACTGTTATAATCGATAACCGATATTTGCAGATACCAATATACTGACGTTGCTTCTAAAATCAGCAGATTTTGTATAGAATGAAAATTATTAAAGCTGAATTTACGTTACGTACACACCACACATTTATGCTTCTGACATGATTACAATCGCTGTCACATGACTAAACAAATACACATCACCCCCCTACCCTCTGAAACAGATAAACAAATGGAGACAAGATGGAAAAAATATCGGTTGTTAATATCGGCCCAGCTTTATTTATCGGACCGATACCGATATGTTAAAAAATGACTAACATCGGCTGATACCAATATTGGTCCAGGTATATTGTCCATCCCTAGTTAAAACACATTTTTGGCTTTTAACTTTGCATGATGGATGAAGACACTTTGCAAAGAAAGCTCATTGGTAATGCGGCCTCTCCTTTGATCATTGTGTGTTGCTTCTGCTGAATGTTTGTTTACCTATTGGTGGTGATTCAAAACAAAAATCTATTATTGCAAAACACAAGAAAATATTTTATTTTGTACATTTCTGACTTTTGAACAAGTAAGAATGGTCTTTAAATGTAACAGCTTTGTAAACAGATGGAAAAATCATTAAAAGTTTTTAGGGAAATTCAGTAAACCTTTGTACACACACACACACAGACTAGGGAACCATCTACTTCCAGACCATGGTCCCCGGAAGAACGAAAAAATGAATGCAAGTCAATGGGGCTAAAAACGCTCATTTCTAATTCCGCTTGTTATGGATTTCACATATGATGTCTGTAATTTTTAAAGAAGCATTGTGACACCAAGAAAGCACTTACTTTTGAACGGGGAGAAACATTAGTTTTAGGTTTTGTGTGAAAATAAGTCCGGGACTACAAATTCGCTTCACGAAAGTGACGTCGTCAAACCTGACACGGAGAAAAACAAAGGGAAAATGGCTGTAAGTTCAGCAAACTTCATATCCTTAATTTAGGAGGGAAAAACCCCACCGTAAATCTGGCCGTTTGGTAAGTAGCAGCTACGTTAGAGGAGAGGAGATGACATGTTTACGTGATATATGCGACATGCCTATGTCTTATTTCTTCCTGAGTGCTCCTTTTCTGTGGCCGTCTCCAAGTTAAGGTCCTCCACCACCTCGCTTACCCATGATGTCCCACAAGGTTCTGTGCTGGGACCTCTGCTCTTCCGCCTCTATCTGCTTTCTCTTGGGCAAATACTGAGCTCCTTCAAAGAAATCTCCTACCATCTTTATGCAGATGACATCCAGCTGTACATCTCCTTTAAGCCCCATGAGATGTCTAAGCTGCAGCTGTTACACACCTGATTAGACTCTATCAAAACCTGGATGGCTGGGAGCTTTCTACAGCTGAATCAAAATAAGACCGAGATCCTCATCTGTGCCCCAGTTAAGCTGGTTCCCAAAGTCAGAGACTCTCTTGGTCAGCTTGCTTCTCACACCAAACCTTCTGTCAGGAATCTTGGCGTGACCTTTGACCCAGCTCTCACCCTGGATTCTCATATCAGTTCTCTTGTTGGCTCTTCCTTCTTCCATCTCAGAAACGTTGTAAAGCTGAGTCCCATTCTGTCCCGCTCTGAACTTGAGACAGTTCTCCACACCTTCATCTCCTCACGCTTAGACTACTGTAACTCTCTTTTCACGTGTCTGAGCAGAACCTCCCTGAACCGTCTACAGGTGGTTCAGAACGCCTGTGCTCGGCTTCTGACCAAGTCCTCCAAACACACCCACATCACCCCGCTTCTCCTCCAGCTTCACTGGCTGCCAGTCAACTTCAGGGTCCATTTCAAGATCCTGGTTCTGGTCTATAGGGCCTTACATGGACAAGCACATCTTACATTGGTGATCTTCTTAGTCCCTACACCCCCAGCAGGTCCCTGAGGTCCAGTGATCAAAGCCTACTGGTTGTGCAGCACCAGGCTAAAGGTCAAAGGTGACAGATCATTTGCTGCTGTGGCCCCCAGACTCTGGACCTCTCTCCCCCTGAGCCTGAGATCAGTGGACTCAGTGGTCTCCTTTAAAAAGCAGCTGAAAACTCACTTGTTCAAGTTGGCTTTTGTATGACCTTCTTCACCTCTCTTTCTTTATTCTGCTCTCCCCACCTATTCCACCTTCCTCAGGATCCACTGATTTCCCTCTTTCCTGTTCACTCTCTCGCTTTCTTTACATTTTTTAATCACAATTGTCTATTTTTTGCTCATTTTAAATATTTTTAACCATTTTCTAAATTCTTTTTGATATTTTTATATTTTTTGTTTTTATGAAGCGCCTCATGATTTTTATCTTGAGAGGCGCTATAGACATGATATTTTCTTCTTCTTCGTCTTCTTCTGGCAACATCTACAGAAAAGTAGCACTACTCTTCATGTTTACATTTGTAGGGATTGAGAATTGAGTGCTGTAAGAGCTCAATATATATTACCTCTACTTATGACCAATAAGTTGTGATACTCTATCTAAATGTATAGAGTATCGGCCCTGCTTGGTCTTTACGGTGTTTAATCAGAAGATTCTAGGATTCTTTATTTATTAGGGGATTGTACACACTTCGTTTTGATTCAGAAAACAGTCAGGTTTATAAAAGTAAGAATTTATTTTACCAACAATTAAAACATGACCAGTTAATTAACATTTACTATGATGTACGGAACTAGATGTGATGTATGAAACCTATGTGCGAATGCGGTGTTATCAGAATTTCCGTATCTAGGAAAACTGAGTTCTGGATGTAAAAGAATTTGGTTTGCATTAAGGTATGAAATTGATTATTATCAAAAACACATCAGACGCTGTCCTCCGTGTCTACTTACCCACTCGAAGACCCTCGTGATAGATCCGGAATGTCGAAGTGCTCGGACTTCCAGGCACCGAGGTCCATAGAAGAAACTGCGGCCCCACTAAACCGATCTTAGAGTTGTCTTCAGGTCACAACAGATGGATGGAACCGCGGGTCTGGGACTCTTAAGGAATCTAATGGGCCATTCCCATCTGTACCGGGTCGACCCGGGCCGGGTAGCGTAGGTTGTTTACATATCTGGGTGGCCTGGTATTTTTCCGGGCCAACCAAGGCTCATTCTCAGCCCTCTTCTCGAGGGGGTCTGCTTCAGGCCGACCAGGGCCAACACACCCACTGCTGACAGCAAATTCACACCTTCCATTAGAGCAAGCCTCTGATTGGTGGGTAGAATCAGCCCACATGGGCTTAAGACAAGGATGTGTGGAATCAACCGGGCCAGGCTGGGGCCGACTGGGGCTACCCGGCCTGGGCCGACCCGGTACAGATGGGAATGGCCCATAAACAATATCAGCTTGTTCTGCAGGAACTGTTGTGGTATCGGCTTCGCAGGTGCAAATTTTGACGACATGTCAAAAGCTTTGATGGGTTAAAGAGGGTTTTGCTACAGATGGCCGGTCTGAAGCTTTCTCATGTTATGATTTGTGTAGCCAACCAGAGGTTGACAAGTTTGAGGAATATTACCAAGAATCTCAGAAACATGCCTTCTTTGCTCTGATCTGGGTAAAAGACTATTTATGTGCCATGAGTTTAACTTAACTTTACTTTGTTCTTGTGTGAGTGCAAATGGTGATGACCTTGTCATATAAACATGCTGAAACATATTTCAATCACTGTAATCATAACATAACATTCATTTCAAACTTCCATCATTGAGCACAGATTAATGAAACATTTCATTATATTATAATTATTATAAGTAGCAATAAACAAATGTTTATTTAATGATTATCTAGCTTATAAGTTGTAGTTCATAGCTGGTTTAGGAAATCCGGGCTGCGAGTGTTCCTTAAATGGAGGCATGAAGAGTCCTGAAAGTTTGGACCTTGAGGAGAGAATGTTATTGTTGACATTTCGTTATCTGTCTTCAGAGCTGCAGGCTCTGAGCTCCAGCTGGTGGGATAAAGGCAGGCTGATTTAAAGGGGACACGTGCAGTCTCGTGTCTCCTTTTTGACCAGATGTTGAATGGTCAAACTGTAACTAAAAACTGACCATTGCTGGACGTTACACATTGATGGGCATGGTTAGCTAGTTCACATCCTTCAGAAACTAGGAAGCCTGCCGCTCGGAGCCAGTGTTTACACCAGAAGGACTATGTTGTTCTCCTGGGTGATGAATAGCCTTATATGAGGTGGAACAAATGAAGTAACTAAAGTGTAGTCTTATTTATGTCCACTTGAGGGCGCCAATTCCACATTTTCCCTTCTCTTCTTGTGACTCATTAATATTCTGCCTGCAGGAATTAGTTTCAGAGGTCTTTTTAAGGTTTTGTGTTTTCAATAAAATATATAGGCCATTTTATGTAGCATCTGTATTGATATGGGTTTCATTTGAGCATTCTATTATTTTATATTTATGCTAGCCGCCTACTGTGTCCTGAGATTTGGGGCATGTTTTCTGACAGTGTAGCACATGCATTTGTTTACAAAAAACTACTTAAATAATTACTTGTCTTCACAATCACATTTTCTTTATTATTGGTCTCTACAT